GTACTGCAGAGACTGGACGAAGCTGGTCTGAAACTCAGTCGTAAAAAGTCGCAGATTGGCCAAAAGTCAATTGTATGCTTGGGTCACATCGTGGGCAATGGTCAAGTCCATCCACTTCCGGAGAAACGCGAGACAATCGAGTGCTTCGCAAAACCAAAATCACAGCGTCAGCTCCGTTCGTTCTTGGGAGTGGTGGCATATGATTCAAAGTTTGTGCCCCAGTTCGCAGAGAAGGTCAGCCCGTTGTTAAAGCTGCTTCGCAAGGACGTGCCGTTCGTGTGGACAGCTGAAGCGGATCAAGCCTTTGACCATCTAAAGGCACGCATAGCAGAAGCCCCGACATGTCTACGGCTACCCAATCCTGGTGAGAGGTTCACTGTGGCTGTCGACGCAAGCAACATGGCAATCGGTGCGGTTTTGTCTCAACCGGCTGGGGTGGTGGAGTACGCGAGCAGAGTGCTGACGGGGGCGGAACAGAAGTACTCAACAACGGAGAAAGAATGCTTGGCCATCGTGTGGGCTTTAGAGAAGTGGAGAAATTACTTACTGGCGAATGAATTCCGGGTCGTCACTGACCACAAACCGCTCTCGTGGTGGATGACGGCGAAAGACCCGCGGGGACGGCTTGCGCGAGGGGCCTACCGATTGCAGGAATTCAACTTCATCATTGAGCACGTGGATGGAACGCAGAATGTATTGCCAGATATGTTGTCAAGCCCGTGTTTGGACGACATCATGCCCGACAATGCCATACCGGTGCGTGCGTTCGCGATGGGGGAGAGGAACCTGCTGGGAGATCAAAGGACAGATGAATTCGTGAATGTGTTGTGCTCTCACTTACGGGCTGGCACCAAACCGGAGGCTACATCGGAGGAGGTGGAGGAACTTCTCAAGATCTGGGACAGGTTGAAGGTCGAAAACGATAACGTGGTGGTGGCGATAGACGGACGGAAAGTGCCTTTTGTTCCACTAAATCAGCGAGAACGTGTGATGCGCATAACTCATGATGGCGCCCATATGGGATTCGAGCGGGTATTTGAATTGCTGCGGAGGCGAGTGTTTTGGCCAACCATGAGGAAGGACGTCGCGGCATACCTTCGGGAGTGCCCAAACTGCCAAACGAGTCGGGAGATGGAGTCCCCGAGACCGCCGATGCGATCGATGGAGGTTGGTGAGCCACTTCAGTGTTGGGGACTGGACGTCTTTGGGCCCTTACCAGTGAGTCGAACAGGAAACAGATACATTCTAGTGATGATTGACCACTTCACTCGATGGGTGGAAGCCATACCAATCAAGGACCAAACAGGCGAGACAGTGTCGCAAGTATTCGAATTCAATGTGCCTGCAAGGTATGGGATCCCACAGTGTATCATCACGGACCAAGGGCCCTGCTTCGAGTCAAGAGCGTTTAAGTCAGTGTTGGACAAGTGGGGCATCCAGAGACGGCGAACTTCACCGTACCACCCACAAACCAACGGGATGACCGAGCGGTTCAACCGGACATTGAAGACGTGGATAAACTGCACGAAGTTGGCATGGGAAGATGCTTTGCCTCAGGTTCTGATCGCGTATCGGACCAGCATGCAATCAACCACCAAGGTCTCGCCATTCGAATTACTGTTCGGCAGAGAACCACGGATTGCGCTCGATACTTGCCTACCGAACCAGGGTGAGTGGAAACATCCAGCTGAGCATCAAGAGCGACTGCGATGGAAAGCTAGAAGCGAAACCAAAGCTCGACAAGCGCGGAATAAGCGAAATTACGACGCCAGGCATGAGGCTCACAAGTGGAGGCCATTCAGGATTGGAGAACGGGTCAAGTTACGGAACAACGATCGGCCGGATCATGACGGGCCGGGCGCAAGCAAGTTCAGAGAACGCTGGAAAGGCCCCTACACCATTATCGACCAGAAAGCGGGCAACTTCTTAATCGACTGCGGAGGAATGAAACGTTGGGTGAATGCTGCTCTCCTGCGACCATGGTACGAGAGGAAGAAAGGTCCTGGAGGAGGGGCGGGTGTAGAGGGGCCGCTTCCAAGAATGGCTCTGGGGAGCTCTTCGGAGCTAGCTGAGAGCGGATCGCGAAAGACGGCTAGCGACGAGCCTGGGCCCGGAACTACGGAGCGGGAATATGTGGACAGCGCAATAAATCAGACAAATACGCCGCTAGCGCAGCCCACAGGACCGAGGCCGAGCCGATTGACACAGCCCAGAACAAGCAAGTCGAGAGCTCTCGAACGACTCCTGGCCGATCCAAATCGGGTACAGAGAAGCGGAGATCGAGGCGAAAACAGGAAGGCGGGACTTCCAAGTCAGAGCTCCCGAGGCGAAAGGACTGGCTCGCCTCTAACATCCGTACCTGTGTTGCGTGGTGGGACGGAAATCTAGTCGATATTCGATGGCGCGCGTGAGACCCTGGTGTGCCCATTTTCGGTGTGCAATAAACGTCTACCCCCCTGTCTTGTCTCCCCCCTTTGGTATCACCAGTGTCGTAAGACATTGTTACCCCGCATCTCCTTCTTGTTCAATTTTGCTGTGGACGAAATCTTGGAGGGTGCACTGGAGAACTGCGAACCCGGAGGCATGGAGCTTCTTTCAGGGGACTGACTTCGGGATTTGGAGTATGTACACGACATCGCCATGATCTGCGCTTCCTCGCAGGTTGCTGAAAATGTCCTGTGTAGGTTGGAGACGTCTGTGTCTCAGTTTGGAGTTATCTTCGTATCATCGAATTGCAAGGTTTTCCTGCAGTACTGGCTAGGCGTTGCTCCTATCCTTACCCTTTCACGTCGTTCGTTGGAACTAGTGGACAAGTTCGTTTACCTCGGAAGCTGCCACAGCGCTACTGGTTTAATGGATGAAGTCTTTTTGCGCGTTTCCAAGGCTCGGGTTGCTTTTGCTAACCTGCTCCATTTTGGGCGTCGCGCGACAGTCTATCCTTGAAGAGCCGAGTCTACAATACCACGGTGATAGCGGTCTTACCATATGGCTGCGTGACTTGGCCTGTTCGCGCAAAGGATTTTGAGAGACAGTCTGTTTTTGATCACCGCTGCCTGCCTTCGGAGCATTGCTGGTGTACGACAGCAACATCACGCTAGTAATGAAGATGTTCGACGGATGATTTCAGATCACCTAGACTTTGCCGACCACTGAGCAGCATACTTTTTTGCGCTGACTTCAGTGGCTTGGGCATGTGCTTCTCATGCCAACTCATCGTTTACCTAGCGGTGACCATTTCGCACGCGCAGAAGTCTGCAGGAAGCTCAAGAAAGGTGGCCAACGTATGACTTGGACCAGGAGCATGAAGGAGCTAACGTCAAAGCTGTGGTCGGGCGTTGTCGACTGCCTGCTTAAGGGCGGAAAGATCACGAACGTGCATGGCTGGAAACCCTATCGGATATTTCAAGAAACCGTGCGCAAAGGAGGATCTTTTGGGATACTCTATTCCCACGAACACTATTTTATATTCTTTTCTCTCTGTTTGTTTATTGTATTTCCCATTGTCAATTGCACTGTTCTGATGGCTGTTGGAGGAGGAAGCTAAAGGGAAGGGGAATGCCAAACAGATTCACAACACAAACGCCATTGAAGTCAACTCTTCGCCATGTCAGCTAGTTTATCCAACCAAACGTGTTCATCATTCTTCGGTCCTAAGCCAGGCATTCAGGAAGCGCAACCGACTCCAACTTCGAAGGGAGGGACTCCATTACTCTTGACTTAGTTATCGCTTGGCCTCCTCTTTTTCCATCCAGACGCCCGGTGCACAAACAACGCACGTTGCGGCAGTCGGTATTCTAGGTTTATGTACTAGAGAACGGGCATTGTTGGGCCCCAGTTAGAGTGTACCATCATAGAAGAAATAACCCATGCGTTTACATACAATATTATTTAACCGGCCCTCTATTCCTCTGGTAGATGAGTCACTATGTCTGGGACTGTTATTTGCTAAATGGCTAGCAGTGGTGGAGAATGGTGCTTAGGATCTAGGAAAAAACCCTGTGTCTGGGTACGATCAACATAAAAATGTGTCCTCCTGTGACGAACATGAGGGTAAATTGACAGTGGCTTGATGGGGCTGATGTCTTCTTTTAGACTTTTCACCCACATGGTTTAATCCATGCATAGGGAGTCATCTATCAGTATGGTGGTGAATCCCACATACCTAGCGATCCGCAGGGTGACGTGTGGTTTAATATATCTAAAGGTGGCACAGTGTTTTTGCCTGAGGTCACTTCGAAATGAGGGCTGGTCAGGGGGTTGTAGTAATTGACACATGTTGGTTGTGTCATGGTTAGTATTCAGAGTGAACTTCCTGTCGTTCACCCATGGTGGCCACATGTTTTGTGGTAATTCGTCTAAAGGAACTATGTTAGCACGTTGAATTTGGTGACACGTTGCGGCTCTAGAGTACTCAGCAATAAGCAGAGCGAACTTATTGCATGACCTTTCCGCAGTCTGTTGTGCCACTGTATCTCGAATAACGCATAGTCTTTTATTGCAAAGTTGTGGAAACGTCTAAATTAGCCACTGCAGTCTGGAGAGAGCAATTTTTGGGCCTAACGGTCACGTGGAAACATAGCTTCATTACTTCAGCCCTTAGCCTTGGCAACCTAGGTCACTGTCGTTTCCTGTGTTGTGATGCACTTAACTGTGAACTTGAATGAAAATATCATGTTTACACTTGAGTCCATGCTGCAGTAACTATAAGTTACAATGCATGAATTCATCTTGCTAGCACCTAGGGTACATAAACGCAGCCGTATCAGATTTTTGAGTTTGTTTCTCTACACCGATCGGCGACATCTCATACTTATAAGCGTCTTTCCGCTAGGCGTTTATTGACGGTAGTCTGCGACCCTTGCTTTTTTTTCTTCAGTAATCCAGTTATCGGACCCATTATACTTGGTCGAAATGATACGATAAATCTAGTTACATTTATATCCCGTATTCCGGACGTTTTTTTGAGTTCGTCTTGAACCACATTTACCTTTTTACCATAGGTGGACCCTTTATCTTTGCCTTCACGCCAGTGGCTGAATGCTCTGCTAGTAGAGGAACAACGTGATCCTCGCCTGGGCGAGTCACACCTGACGATGGACGGACCAACGTTCATTGACTCATTCAGGTATCGTTGAAATCCAACTCCTGCTTGGTACGGTCGTTTCAAAAATAATCTTTACCCGTGATAATTAACCATCTATTTAACGCACATTCGAACATTACTCATGACTCTTCATTCACTTTCCTAGCACAAAATTTGCTCACCTAAATTGACCGTCGCCCTTCCTAACATACGAAATCCTTTTGCTTGCCTATATATATATATATATATATATATATATATATATATATATATATATATATAAACGAAAAATCCGCTTGGGGTTCGTGTGGCTCGTAAAAACTCCCCGGTCCAGCCAAGAAAGGAAGCCGAGACGTTAACTACGGTATTCGACAAAATCATTCATTTTCGAAACAACCGTTCTTCACAAAGTTCAAAAGGAATGCAAACTTACTTTCCACCGTACATCAAGAGTCACACAATACAGTCACGATCGGACAACGACCTTTCTTTTATTAGCTCCACTAACCCTTGGCTTATTGGTTCGCTGTACAACCTGCGAAGGGGAGGGCGATGGAATGGGCTCTTGTAGTGGCTTGGCTCCGTCAAACAGAGGGGGTGGGAGCAACCTGAAGGTGTGTGCCCCTGGAACGGGAGGGTGAATCAGGTCTAAGGTATGCGTGTGGGGGATCTGGACGGATTTCATTGTGTGACTGAACGTTTCCCACAGTGAGAGGTGAAGGAATTCCATGACAGCATCAATATGAAATCATATGAGGGATAATCCGTAAACCGGCCTTCATCAGATGGGGCAGGCGTCTAGTTTGGTCATCTAGATTGAGATCCCGACCTGTCTTGCGAATTACGTACTAGCTACGTCGGTTTCCATGAGACATAGTGTGGGTGCTAGAAGCTAAATCGCGTTATCCAATTTGCGAATTACGTGTAAATTTACCGCGTACAGTCTGCCCCAAATCCAAAAAATATTATTTGCATTGAGCATTAGTTGTTCTCTTGCTCTGGTTCGTCCTAACTCCGTTCCTTCCCCTATGGGAGAAATACAGGACTTACAACAGTACGCTTGAAATCTCTTATTTCGGCATGTTGAACTCACAATGGTCCTCCCTGGAGCAGCAGATCGAAGACCCCACCTCCGACCTGCGGAGAGTCAACAGCCAGAACTGCTCCATTTCCCCCATTGTATCCCTCTAGCAAACATATCTCTCACATTTCTCTTGTCTTCACCAATACAGTCAGAACTAAGCCGTCCCCTGAGGTTACGCAATGTGTAAATACACCTGATGGTCAATACCCTCGTGTCAGTGTCTCAGCAACAACTATTACAACGTCGCCACGCGAACGCAGTATCTATAGTGCTGCGTCCCGAACGGAATCCGCATTGCTGTTTCGCCACGTTCGGTTCAACGACCAGAGTAACGAGACGGTTGAGCTTGATCCGGGCGACCACTTACCCCACACAACTCAGCAAGTTGATACTATGGTAATTCATGGCATGCTGCTTGCCTCCTTTACCATTGCACAATGGTAGGTATATGTGTATATTTTGCAAGTCTATGAATGGACATTGAGCCATCGGAAACCATGGAACTCAAAACAAGGTACAGAAATAGTAAAAGAAAACACAACACATCAAAATCCATGGTTTTGTCAGAGGGCGAGATACTACCCGGTTGTCAAAGCCGAAGTAGGGTGTTGACTTAGGGGACACCACCCCGAGCCTTTGGCTGAATAGCCTGCCCGCAAGGCAGCTGAGCGAATTCAGGGAATCGCGCCCATTGGGAGCCGATGACTGATTGCTCAGTTCATACGCCTTTCGTTTGTTCCTTTGTCAAACAGGGGCCCAATGCTCCCCAAAATTACAGCATAAACGTGCTGGAATACAATGCTTCGCCAGGATGAAGCAAGGGGCATTGGCGAGTCACGTCCGCCACGTCACAGTGTTGTTAGACGGACATATGTGGCTTTTTATAGGGAGAACGCTTGCCATGCGAAAACCCACCACTGGTAGGTAGCAGAAGAGTATCCTTCAAGTCAGCCGGCATCTTCTCTTCAATCCAGGCGGGTTGCATTAATTACTGTAGCGCATTTATCAACGCGGTTCCGCCGTGTTTCAACACTTCTGGCGGTATCCCGTCGGCGATGGCATATTTGCCGTTTCGCAGCTGATCGACTGCTTTCTGCTTCTCATCCAGTGTCGGTTTGTCGGCAGTATACATCTTCGTCTGTTGTTGTTGCAGCCCATGCAACATATCCCAGTCAATTCTTTAATGTACTAGTTTGGCGCGACGCAGTTTGCGAACGGACGCTCTTAGCCCGCGTCTGATGATTGCATTCATTAGTTTCTTACCGTTACGCGCTCGTTCACATTCGAAGCCACAGTTTTTAATTATTTTCTTTCTAGGTATCTGAATCCACGCACAAAAGAGTCCTTCACTTGCTGGTCCACTCGAACAGGAGCAAGGGCTACCAATTATGGCACGAGAATTGATTATATACTGGTTGATAGCCGTCTCGTGGACGGGTTCGACGAAAACTTGTCATTGAAAGTAGACCACATGACCGACCTGGAAGGATCCGACCACTGCCCAATTCGCGCTCACATACCGCTCACGCTAACCGCTAATCCATCTTACCCATACCCTTCGTCATGTTCACGCTTCTGGCCTCAATGCCAATCGAAGCAAATCAACTTAAACCCCTTTGTCGTTCCTATCACACCATCCACTGTGAAAGTATCGGACACAAACGATAATACCCATTTTCCAGAGTCGAGGAATCCCATCAAAAAACGTCGCCTGAAACAAGCAACACTTGTTGGTTTGTGTGAGTCAACGTTTTCATCTTTGTTCACCCGTTGCTGCGTTGTTTGTGTCTTCTCCGTCTCAAACGCTTAAGAGTAACCAGCTGGTCACATTGGTTCCACGTTATTTCATGTTGTAACCCACCAATTCAACTTACTGAGAAAGGAAATATTTGCCTTGATCAATATACTACGTAATGCACACATACTAAAATTAGACTCCTTGATTGAATAAAACGACGCAAACAGTTATCCAAGCCATCAGCTGCGCTGGTTCATTGTATTTCTTTCCCCATCAGTGAATACAGCAGACAATCTGTTGAATCAGTTTTTTTCCTCATCTTCATCTGTACAACAGCGCACCGCTTTGGTTAGGTGCTGAGTGGCAACACTTACAGGTGCCCTCGACAGCTTTCCTTCCTTCGTATTTCCACTTATTGTGTGCGCGGATAAACTTGGTTGCGTTAGTTATAATTTCTGGGTACTCACGTTCACAAATTAAAAAATTCCAAAACTTGGGACAATTTTGGATAAGCGCTCCAGCACTGCTGCCACAATGAAGACCTGAGTTCGTATTTACAGCTGTTTTGAGTAACCGTATGCAAAGTGGCACGAAACTGCCCTGTCGCGACGACACTAGACCTTGACGTGCGACGGTTTGTATACCTCTTTGACCAATAGTACTATTCTTGTCAGTGTCCCCGGGCTACTCCTACTGGATTGCACAAGGGCTAGAGGTCAGACAAACTCATTCTCAGACTCCTCCATATCCGCACCACTGAATCATTGCTGTCCCGCTGCACTGCGCACAGCAGTTTAAGCCAAAGACTTTGCTTGAGAACACTAATTTTCTGCATGTCTAGGTCTGCGCGCCCTCGCTTAATCTCAGCACACGTGCAATTCTGACTATTTCCTCAAAATTCAACCACATCTAGCATTCGCCGTCCCTCAGCTTTTCAAGGGCGCCTTATCAGCTGAATACTGCATGGCGGCTGAGCGAAAAGGTGCTACTGCTGGCGCCTCCCTTCCTTTTCACCTGCTTTTCTTACCCCTCCTATTAATAAACTTTTCTATACTTCCCATCGTAACTGACGGGAGTCGCAATTTCACTGGAGTTACACCATATGCAGCTATTCTCCGGCATCATCAACTGGACGCATATGGACAACAATCCCTATAAGATCACGCCGTCCCGTTTCGCTGGTGACGTTCAAGGTTCGCAGTCTGAGACAAATCGGTCAACAGGCTGCTCTCGAACGTACGTTGGATACACTGGGTGTTGGGTGTTTTGTGTCCGAAACTAGGACTATTGACTATCACATGGCTGTTGAACTAACTGAGCTTTGCTTACCCTCTTGTCATTGGTCACATGCATCCGGAGACGCTGATAGGGCAATCACCGTTCAAGCTGAGGAGAATTCGTTCTGAGCTCCAAGGCTGAGTCGGATTGGGCTGAGTGGATTGGGTTCCAGCAAGCAACTGTTTGTGTGCGGACCATTTGACGAAATCCGCTACGATTGTTTCACAAAATAACATTAAACTCTGTTTGTAGTTCTAGCCTATACACCCACCGAGCACAGTTCCGATCCTGCTAATGACACCTACCACGAGCTGAGCACTCTGCTACGCAGTGATACCAGTGCAGATATCGTGGTTGTTTCGTGGGATATGAATGCGCAAGTAAGTCGTCTGAGCTCTGCATGAGCTCAGCGAGGTGGCAAGTGTGGAATTAACTCCGACCGGACAGAAAATGGCGAACGTCTGTCGCAAATTTGCGCGGAGCACCGGATGTTTCTTAGTAGCACCGCTTTTAGACACAGTGGACGCCGAAGTGCCATTTAGCGTCCCCATGCAACCGGCCTGCGATGGACTCAAACAGATCACGATGTCAGGTGGGGTGGTTCCGTCCTGGACTGTTGATCGTTCGGGAATACCTGCGTGGACTCTGATCACGCTATGGTACACTGTCGTTTTTCCGTGAAATTACCGGGGAGACCTGCTGAGCTTCTTCCACTGGCAACTGTGAAGTTAACTCAGTCATCGGTCAGGCGGTCGCACCAGAATGCCCTTCGTGCTGAATTTCTGACTTCTTATCTTAATGAAATTAGGCTTTAGTGGAATAGGATCTCGACTGCCATGCGCGACACGGTTACTCCTCTTGCGGCGCTATCAATCGTCAGTTCACTAATCACTGGATATCAGAGCGTTCGGGGAACCTGTTTAATCCAGAAGAAACTCCACTTTGCTCTGAGCACGACGTAACAAGAGGTACTATTAGGCGTGAACTAAAGTGGAGTCTGCATGCTGACAAGGAAGGCTAGGGCATCATTAAGTTGGAGAGGACGGGAGCAGTGGGCAATTACCGAAGCTCTTCCAACTGATCTGCACCACTGGTCCCTGTAAATGAAACGTCGCTGAGACAATCAGAGACAGGTCGGGTTCACTCATATATATATATATATTATATATTATACAATCTGTTGTACAGATATTGTGCCATCGGGTTCACTCATACACAATAGGATGCACTGGTTGGCTCGTTGGGCTTAGCACTCTCGAGCCCAGTCGACACCTTCCTCCCGGATCTCTTACTGCTCAGATGGTGCAGGCAGAGCCATGTCCGGTTGGTTTAGAGGCGCAAACGGTGGCTGAGGTCTGAAACGCAATCACACCCACACCCAGGATTAATTCACCTATTATTCTGTGTAGCAAATATGATGATAAGACTATTGTCCCTGCGCATGTATAGCTCTCCCAGCATGGACGTCATCAAACCGACGACATTGAAGATAGCCGCTATGAACATCGCCGAACCCTTAGCTCGGTTCTCTCACCGATATCTTGTTGAAATGTAGGTTCCCACAATGTGGAAACATAAAATAGTCACTCTTATTTGCAAGAGTAGAAATCGCGCGGATCACTTGAACTACCTTCAAATCCCTTTCCCCCGGTGTTGTCCAAAACAATGGAAGGCATCAAACGCTGAAGCACTCATGAAAGAGGTTGAAAACAACGACCTTATATTGTCACATCAGCATGGATTCCGCCGAAATCGGTCTTCCATCACAAACTTGCTGCTAGCCTGAGAAAGCTCGATGAAGAAAAGGAGTCGAAGTTGTATACTTGGACTTCTCTAAAGCCTGGACCATGGGCTTCCTCTTCACAAGATTCAGAACTTTTAAATCGGTGACCCTCTGCTAGGTTGGATACGTAACTTCTTCATCCACCGTCCCCTGAATGTGCGAGTCCGCAGCTCCATTTCCACCCCAATTGAATTAAGTGCGGTGTGCCCCAAGGATCAGTACTTAGACCACATTTATTCATCGTATTCATCAACGATTTCGTTAGTGCACTTAAGTTATGCCTTACTATTTGCAGACGATGTTAAAATCTGGCATGGTATCAAGACGGTGGGCGATCGCACTGCACTGCAGAGCAAGCTCAACAGGACCTTTACGTAGCCATCCGACAACCGGTCCTATTTCAACGTGACGAAATGCAAATTAGTGAGCGTACGCCATCAGCTAACCCATGAAAATGGACTTGGGGACCAGCAGGTGCGACCTGTTTCTCATGAAAGTGACCTCCAGCCTATTTTTCGGGATGACTTTTGCTGCTCGAAACAGGTCGGAAAAGCACCGAATAGAGCCAGTCAGTGTTACACTCAACCGAAATCAGAACAACAGTACTGCAAATGGAAGTTTAGTAGAAGCAGTGGCAATAATACATCGGCAGTCCACACTGGGTACAGAGCAACTGTTTAGTTTTAGGCAAGTCACATGTCTTAGCTAAGCACTTGCTTTTGAACCAATCAATAAGCATCGCTGGTTAGTCGGGAGACGGACACTCACGCACTAGCGCGCACAATGCAGCTCCACAGGCTAGGTAGTGTAGCGTGACCTTGGCGCGCTCAACGTCTGTATCACATTTCCCCCTTTTACTTGGAGCTATCCAGCTTGGAAACGATCGACCGGTCGGCGTCGGCGCTCAGAGCGCCGCAATTGTGACTCGCCTACCGGTTCGGCATCACACGTGCATGTCGTTCAATGCTTGAGCTGGCTGCTCTGTCTCGGCAACTGTTTCTGTGTCGGACAATCTCGGTCGCACATGATCTAAATGGCGTCGAACGATCCTGCCATCCTCAGTCTCTGCTTCTATTATCTGTCCGTTAGTTGTTTTAACGACGGCTGGCTCCCACCCCGAGCCTGTAGGTAAGCGGATGTAGATGGGATCTAAATCTGTCACATGCTTGTCTCTGCTACATGTATCAAAACGCTCTTTCACTCGTTGTTGTTTTTCCGAAACTTGTGGCTCAATAGATCCATGCAATAAATCCAATCGTGTACGCAGTCGACGACTAAACATTAACTCCGCGGGGCTTCTGCCTGTGGTCTCATTTGGCATGTTTCGATATGCGAACAAGGAACGATCCAAACGCACACGCAGCGGAGCATTTGGTTGTTTTATTAGCAGCTTCTTCACTGTTTGTACGGCTCTCTCCGCCAACCCATTAGAAGAAGGATGATAGGGTGCAGTTGTTATGTGTTTAATGCCGTTCGAGTTGAGGAAGGTAGAAAACTCAACACTGGCGAATGCTGGCCCATTGTCAGATACTAATGTCTCGGGAAGGCCAAATGTTGCGAACGTTGTGCGTAGTTTCTCTATAGTACCAGCTGAATTTACTGAGACAAGAATATGGGCATCAATCCATTTAGAATGGGCATCGATGATTAGCAAAATCATCCGACTTTCGTAGGGACCGAAATAGTCTACGTGGACTCGTTTCCAGGGTGTTTCTGGCCACTTCCAAGGCTGCATTGGCGCATGAGGAGCGGCGTTTCGGGTCTCCTGGCAAGGTCTGCAACTTCCAACCTTCGCCACAATATCACGGTCTAATTCAGGCCACCGCAGATAAAATCGTGCTAACGACTTCGTTTTTGCGACACCTGGATGCGCATCATGTAGTTCATCAAGGATACGTGACCGAAATTTCTTGGGGACAATAACTCGTGCGCCCCACAGC